AGCCTCTTCCTATCAGAGACGGTATGCAATGAGCTGCAATGTGGGGCTGATCCCAGTGGGAGAAATCACTCAGTGGGGCTGGGAGCTGAGGGGCTCTTGTCCCTGTGGCCAGAGCAGCATGTCCTGACATCCACAGGGGTCTCTCCCTGTCCCCAGCCTGTGAGCCATGGCCTACCACAGCTTCCTGCTGGAGCCCATCAGCTGCCATGCCTGGAACAAGGACCGGACCCGTAAGTGTGGCTGGGGCACCCCATCCCAAAATGCCCAGGGACATCCCAAAGGACTGTCCTGGCTAAACATCCCTGCAGTGGGCACTGCTCCCAGGACAGGGCAGAGCTGGGTTGGGGCTGGGTTTGGGGAAGCAGGTCCTGCCAGGAGCAGATCTGGGGTCTGGGTCAGCACGTCCCCCTGTGTCCCTCTGGTCCCACTGCCAGGGCAGAGCCTGGCACAGGGGCCCCAGTGTCCGGCCCTGAGGCACCACCGGTGCAGGCAGGGAGGGACGAAGTGCAGAGCAGAGCAGAGCTGAGTGATTCACGGCCGATGGCATTTCCCGGCCACGGCACAGGGGACGTGGGAGAACAAAAAGGGCTTTCTCTGCTGCAGCCAGCACGCCGGGCAGGCGGGGCGGGATGGGGCTGGGTTTGGGGGATGTGCGCCCGCAGCCATCCCGTCCCATCCTATCCCATCCCATCTATCCTATCCTATCCTATCCTATCCTATCCTATCCTATCCTATCCTATCCTATCCTATCCTATCCCATCCCATCCCCTCCCATCTAATCCCGTCCCATCCCATCTAATCCCACCCGCCCACGGGACCATGGGAGGGAGGATGCTGGGCTGAGATTCATTCCCCTTTCTGTGGGAACAATTTGCAGTGTCAGGGCAGTGCAGGGTTAGGACTGGGGGGTTTGGTGGGACCTGGGGGTCAGTGGGAACCTGGAGCCCAGGAAGGGTGGGTGGGTGCTGGCTGGCCCTGCTGCCCTTGCAGAGTCCATGACCCAGGGGAGGGTTTTGTCCTGGCCACTGTCACCCCCAGAGATCGCCCTGTGCCCCAACAACCACGAGGTCCACATCTACCGCAAGGATGGAGCCAAGTGGAGCAAAGTCCATGAGCTGAAGGAGCACAATGGGCAGGTGACAGGTGAGTCCTGGCTGATGGAGGGGATGGGGACATGGGTGGCAGGTGGCCCTGCCCTGGAGCTCGTCCCAGCCCCACTTGTGGCACTGGCAGCTTCCTGCATTGGGTAGGGGAGAGGAAGCAGGTTGTGTCCACCTTGACCTGGCATGTCAAAAGGAATTTAGGGCTGGAATGAATGAGATGGAAAAGATGGAGAAGGATGGGGTGGGGAGGGATTGGGTGGGTTGAGATGGATGGGGTGAGGTCGAGAGGGAGGGAGGGAGGGATGGGAAGGGATATGGATAGGTGTAATAGATGGAGTAAGATGGGTTTGGACAGAATGGGATGGGGTGGGAGGGATGGGAAGGAATGGGGTGGAATGATTTGGGATGGATGTGGGAGTAGGGTGAAGTAGGACCCTGGAGCAAAGATCACCCAGAACAGCTCTGCCTTCAAACAGCCCCCAGCCCCAAGTGACACATTCCCATTCCCATTTCTGTGGCTTCCTGGGCCACCATCACCCTCCTCTGCCTTCCAGGCATCGACTGGGCCCCTGAGAGCAACCGACTGGTGACGTGTGGGACCGACCGCAACGCCTACGTCTGGACCCTGAAGGGCAATGTCTGGAAGCCAACCCTGGTCATCCTGCGGATCAACCGCGCTGCTCGCTGCGTCAAGTGGTCCCCCAAGGAGAACAAGTTTGCTGTGGGCAGCGGCTCCCGGCTCATCTCCATCTGCTACTTCGAGCAGGAGAATGACTGGTGAGGCTCCGGCATGGCCTGGCTGGTTCTGTCCTTGGGGAGATGGAGGCAGGGATGTGTGGATGGATGGATGGATGGATGGATTGAAGAAAAGATGGATGGATGGGAGATGGGTTGGGAGATAGGAGCCTGGAGGAGCTAGAGGTGAGACAGGAGGAGATGGGGGAGACAGAGAGGAGCTGGAGCTGGAGAAGAGATGAGCAGATGGAAGGATAGACTCTCCAAGCATGAGCTGCTACTGCAGGATGGTGGCCTAGGGCAGCTCCTGGGGAGGAGGGACATTCGGAGCGTCGACCACCCTCAGCCAGGCCCCCAAAAGCCCAGGGGGGCTGCTGGGGTTGGTGGTGGTCCCCCACTGATGCCAAGCACTCTCCACACAGGTGGGTTTGCAAGCACATCAAGAAGCCAATCCGCTCGACGGTGCTCAGCCTCGACTGGCACCCCAACAATGTCCTGCTGGCCGCTGGCTCCTGCGACTTCAAGTGCCGGTGAGGAGCAGGGGGGTGGGTGACCAGGGGGTCCTGAGGTGGGGGCACCCCCAGGATTGGTTGCATAGCACAGAGGTGTGTGGAGCAGCCCAGTGCTCTGGCTCATCCGTGGCGCAGGCTTCACCTCTCAGGTGCTGTTTGGAGCCAGGAATGGAGCACAGGGGAGATGCAGGGAGGTCTGGGGATGCCCTGGGACCATCCCAGGGTTAGAGCAGCTATATGGGCCAGCATGGGCTCTGCTGGACAAACTGAGGCATTCATGGAGCAGAGTTGGAGGCAGTGCAGGTGTTATGTCCAGGAACACATGCCAAGACTCTCCCCTTCCCAGGATCTTCTCAGCATACATCAAGGAGGTGGAGGAGCGGCCCAGCCCCACACCATGGGGCTCCAAGATGCCCTTTGGGGAGCTGATGTTCGAGTCGAGCAGCAGCTGTGGGTGGGTGCACAGCATCTGCTTCTCGGCCAGCGGCACCCGCGTGGCCTGGGTGAGCCACGACAGCACCCTCTGCCTCGCCGACGCCGGCAGGAAGATGGCGTAAGCAGGGCTGGGGGGAGCAGGGGCTGGGGGTGGCTGTGCTGGGGGTACCAGGGGAGGTTGACCCCCAAACCGACCCAGGGGATGGAAGTATCTGGGTTGGATTGGGTCAAGAGCAATCCCAGAGCATCCTGCATGTGGGCAGGGAAGATGGAAAGGTTCAGGCTCAGGAGCTGGGACAGCCCTAGAGCATCCCTGGATATCTCCAACCATCCCTGGGTGGTTTCCCCAGAGCATCCCTGTACGTGGGTGGGGGAGATAGAGGGTTCCAGCCCCAGGAGCTGGGACACCTCTGGAACATCCCCAGAGCACCATGGATGGAGGAGACAGTGTGTCCCCTTGTAGTCCTGTGGCTTCCACCTGTGCTACAAGCTGTGCCAGTCTCAGCGCAGAGGCTGAAGCTTAGCTCAGTGCTAACCCCTGCCCTGCTCTCCCTTGCAGTGTCACCTCCCTGTGCACTGAGACTCTGCCCCTCCTTGCTGTCACCTTCATCACTGAGAACAGCCTGGTGGCTGCGGTAAGTCCAGGGGGGCATGGGGTGGGTGCCACGGCAGGAACTGGCCAGAGGGTGCTGATTGGGGTGGGCTGGTTCCACAGGGCCATGACTGCTGCCCGATGCTGTTCACCTACGAGGAGAGCCAGGGCACCCTGACCTTTGGAGGGAAGCTGGATGTCCCCAAGCAGAGCTCCCAGCGTGGCCTCACTGCCCGCGAGCGCTTCCAGAACCTGGACAAGAAAGCGAGTTCGGACACTGCCAGCGCCACGCTGGACACTCTGCACAAGAACAGCATCAGGTGGGTACTGGGGGTGAGTGGGTCACCTCGGGGGCTGCCTGGGGGTCCTGGGCCCTGGGTATCCCTGGAGCATCCTTGGGTAGCCCTAGAGCTTCCCTGATCATCCCTGCAAGCGGGTGGGAGAGATGGAGGGGTCCAGCATTAGGAGTTGGGACAATCCTGGGTGTCCCTGAGCATTGCTGGTTGTCCCTGGAACATCCCTGCCTGTGGGTGGGGGAGATAGAGAGGTACAGTCACAGGATCTGGGAGAGCCCTGGAGCATCCCCAGAGCATCTCTGGGTGTCCATGGAGCATCCATGTGCATGGGCTGTGGGAGATAGAAGGATCCAGGCCAGAAGTTGGGACAGCTCTGAAGCATCCCTTGGTGTTCCCAGAGCATCCCTGCGTATGGGTGGGGGAGATCGAGATGTCTAGCCCTGGGAGATGGAACAGACCTGGAGCATTCCTGGAGGATCCATGGGTACCCCTGAGCATCCCTGGCTATCCCCAGTGCCTCCCTGCACATGGGTGGGGGGTGATGAGGGGGTCCAGCCCCACTCCCACCCATGGCTGCTGGGAACCCCCAAGGGACCCAGGACCCAATGCCTCTTTGCACCCACAGCCAGATCTCAGTGCTGGTGGGTGGGAAGGCCAACTGCTCCCAGTTCTGCACCACAGGGATGGACGGCGGCATGAGCATCTGGGATGTCAAGGTGAGATGTCCCCATGGCCCCTGGACTGGGAGCACCCAGTGTCAAGCCCTCATTAGCCACAGCTCTGATTGCAATCCCTCACCCTGTGGCCCATCCTGCCCACGGGGGTTCCAGCCCAGCGTGGGATCTCCTTTAAGCCAAGACTGGGACACCCCTGGGTGGCAGTTTCAGGGCTGTTCGTAAGGTGGTGATGCCAGCCTTGTGCAGGGATCCAGCACCCTCTCCTGGCTTCAGCTTTGCCCACATGACATGAAAAAAATGAGCCAAAACTGGCCGAAGTTGGGATCTCCTCCCCACAGGGATAGGTTGGCACTCCAGGGGACAACTTCCCTCCCAGCTCCCTCCCCTTTCAGCTCCCCAACCACCTCCAGTTGCCCTGGAAAGCAAAGAGCTGCTGAACAACCTCTCATTTAATTTCAGAGCCTGGAGTCAGCACTGAAGGATCTCAAGATCAAATGAAGGAGCCATCCAGGAAGGGCATCCCATCTGCCAGCTGTCCCTGCTCTGCCACCCTGCCTGTCCCCACCAGCCCCTGTGCCACGCGTGCCCCTGTGCCACACCAGCAGTGCACGTCCCCCTGCCAGCCAGCCCCGGCGGCTGCTCTCACACAGAGAAACCAAGTTTTTTAACTATTTTTATAACCATCCCTCCTGATGCTGGTCATACATTGCTTAGAGAAATAGGAAATAAAGTAAGGATTTTCCTGGATAAATCAGAACCTTTTTTTTTTTTGCCTTTTTTTTTTTTTTAGAACAAGTTCAGCGTGAGCATAGGTGTGATCAGAGCACGTCACGGTGCTGTGTCACAGCTCATGTCCTTTCTGCAAGCAGCTCTGAGGATGAATTGGGACTGTGTGTGTAAGGGGAATGTTGCTTCCCTGTGCTTCAGCATGATTTCAAAGCAGGATTGGTGTTAGGGAAAAGGTGAGGGAGAGGATGGAGGTGGCCAGGGAACACAGGTTTCTCATACTGCTCCCAGCACTGGTGTGCCCTGGACACCAGCCAATTCCTGCCAGGTGTGCAGTTCCCAACTCTGGGAGCCAGCTCAGAGACCTTGGGCTGTCCAACTGATCCTGCCCCTTTCCAGCTTGTTATCACAGTCTGCCAGAGAATTTTGATCAGAGCACCTCCAACTTCCACCTTCTCAAACTCGGGGTAGGAGCAGTCCCACCTCATGGCCAAAGCAGGGGGACAGAGCTGCTCCCAGCATGCTGAGAAGCCTTTGAAGGTCTAAGAGAGTGGATAAATCTTCCCCCATTTCAGAGCAGGGTTTAATTCCACGTGGGAAACTCTGGGCAGTGCCACACACTGCACAGAGGGTATGACATCCCCATGAAGTGGTTGGTGACAGCGCTGGCAGAGGCAGAGCAACCAGTACTGGGCAGGTGTGTCAGGGCAGGGAGGATGTCCAACCCCTCCTGCAGCACTGCTGGTCTTAAACAAGAGGCTTTTGAGGCTCCTGCCCTGCTCTATCCTAGGCATCAGCCCAAAAAACTCCTGCCCTGCCCCAACCACCTCCCTGTGCTCCAAGGATCATTCAAACTTTCCGTGTCAGTCTGTCCCCACCACGTCAGTTCTTCCCCCTCAGAGCTGACAGCACAGGCACCTTCCTGGTACCACTCACTCATCTTCCACAGCTCCCTGAAGGTACTTCCTGTGCCAAATCACACCTTGGGCCCAGGAGCACAGGTTGGGGGAACAGCTCTGGGGCTTGGGCTGTGCCCTACGTGCAGAGATGATCTGGTATTCCCACACCAGGAAAGCAGTTGCCTGCTGTGGTTTGAGCCTGCAGCTCAATGACATTCCCTCTGTGACACCCTCGTGCCCGAGTCCCTGCAGCCAGGCATGGATGGGATGGCACAGAACAAGTCACATTTCTCATGCTGCATCTCCACAGCTGTAACCTCTCTGCTAGCGACTCCCAGTGCTGTCTCAGCCATGGGGCTGGACCTCCTCCAGTCTTCAGGAAGCAAGTCTGGGAAGCACTGGTGTCCCTGGAAGAGGCTGGCAGCAGGACTCCTGGACCTCCTGGGGTGCAGCAGGTTGGAGCATCTCCCCTCCAGCGACTCTGCACTGAGAGAGGACATCAGACAGGGTGACAGTGCAGTGACTGCCCTTCTGACAGTGACTGGGCCAGACAGTGGCCTAAGGGTAGTTGTTTCCTCCACTGTGGTAAACAGATTGTGCAAGACATCGATTAGAAGTAGCAGGGAAAGCTTTTTCCCTTCAGGTTGCATCTGCTGACACAGCTCTAGAACCTGGAGCCAAACTCCACACCACAAAGAGCAAAGCAGCAGCTGCAGGAGTCACCACAGCCCCTGAGTGCTGCTGTGCCTCTCTCAGCTCCCCCAAGCTATGCCCTTCACACACACACCAGGCCAGAGCAGTTCTGATAACTTACAGTTTAATCAGCCAAATATACAAGTTCTGTTGTTGTTTTAAACTTGATCAAGTTTTGTTTCTTTTTACCATCTGGATCTGACACAATAACTGTTGTTTGTTTTCTCCTTTAAACAAAGGATGATGTGGTTAAAAACTGGCACTATCCCTAATAAGGAGGAGAAAAAAAAATGAAGAGGAGGGAAAAGGGGAGACTGGCTGCAAGAAAGGAGGGATGAATCCGGGAAGGAACGGCACTCCAGATGTCCATGAAGTCAGGCTCCAGCTTATACTGCACCATCCTGCAGCAAAATTTGATGGGCTGTTTGCCCAACTGGATTCCTCAGATACATTATCCTTTGGGATTTCATACCAAGTCAGTTCCCCACCCCATGCCCCACCCCACCGTGACCCCACAATCTATTTCCTTGCACTCTAGTATTTGAAGCATCTCCCCTCCTACACAGCTCCCTCCCACCCTGCCCCCGTCTACGAGTTCTTGATCCTAAAAACAGCAAAAACATTCATGTTTCCAAACTGTTACAGGGAATTGCTGTTCAGCAACAGCTCTGCACTGCAGAGAGCAGCTGCCCCTAACCCCAAATGGAAATCTGTGCCAGGATGAGGACAAACACATCGTCAGTGTCTCTTGGAGGTGAAGGTGAGGTCGATGCTGCAGGACACCCTGCGTGGCATCGATGGAAGGCGACACGGCAGAGCTCCTGGCAGGACCAGGCACAGTTCCCTGGTGTTTCCTCCTCTTGCATGGCCTGTGCTTACTTGTTAAGGGATAGTGACTGCAGTCTTTTACCTGCCATGGCTGCTTCGTCTTTTGCTGGGGGAGGAAAACAACAGAGTTTCATCATTTCACAGCGCGTCAGGGACTGGTGCTGGATTCACAGCCCCAGAGAATGAAATCCCGCTAGTCCTGACACTCCCTGCCAATCCCTGGTAGATCCCTTCCAGAGGTAAGAGGTACAGCCCCCCTTGAATATTCCCTTCTATCCTGGGTGTCTCTTCAGGCATCCACAAATGACCCCAATGTTGATGGCCAAATTTCTCCATGGAAGCCACTCAGACTTCTGGTTCACACCTGCCAGAGCAGGAAAGGAAGGAGTGCTGAAAATTCCCTGGGCAGTCTGGATCCCCAGCATGCAAAGCAGGTAAACCACCCAGCATAAACCACCCACTAAACCGCCAAGCTGGAGCCAGCATTGCCAGGGAGGTGGAGGACAATAATGGATGTCAGGGGCAATTCCTTTCTCT